GCCACCTTCTGTGCAGAGGAACGGCAGCACTGTGTTTTTTGGAGATCTATACAGACAATGGATTCCGACTGTTCAATAAACTTAAAATGGCAGCAAATAGTCTGTTGTACTTTCTTCAGGAAAGAGAAAGACGGAAAAACTTGAAAGCAGTACACAGTGGCTAGCAGACGTAGAAGCGTGGTCGAAAGATTTGCAGAAGAACATCGAGGCAAGTTGAGTCGGTTTCGACTTCACCAAGTTATGACAATGAAGAAATTTAGATGGTAAATCGTGAAAAACGGCTTCGGTTCGAAATAAAAATTCTAGAATGGCAGAAAAGTATGTTGGAGCAAGAACTCAGCGTTTCCGAAAACGAGTGCGAAAAATGGAAAGCAAAAGTAAGTGTGAACCGCCACTGTTTTCTTTCTAAACATACACTGCAATATAGCAAATAAAGTTTTGAAAACAAAAAATTAACAACAGACTTGATTTTTGATTTAAATGAATAACAGCATGATGAGCAAGTTCACAGGTAAACTGATGATGGCAAATAGGTGACTTCACTGCGCGGCTTAATGCCAAGGGGACGACCAAGAACGAAGAGCGATCTATGGCTCTACTCGAGACGGGTATTATTCTACCAATATTCTCAGATGCTGGCACAAGATCAGGAACGTTGAAAACACTGTCCGTTTCCGCAAGGATAAGCGGTCATCAAAACTGTGTGCATGGACTTGAAAGTTCAAATAGCATTTCCTTTGGATTTGCCAGATTTTGGTTTAGCCGTGAGGGAAGGCATTTTCTTAACTTCCTGATATCATTTACCCATTTTTCCCATGAGCTGTTATTCACATTTTTTGTTTGCTTTGAAGATAAATACGGACCATGCTCCCTAGTCCAATTTGTGTTTGGGATACCTCTTTCTTTGACAAATCTTACTTAAGCGCATGTCGAATCACATTTATGTCAGTTACTAGAGTCTCGTAATCCAACTATCCTGGATCATAAGACAGCTCTTCGCGGAGTATAAATTTTCCGTCCTACCTGCAGTGAGGCTTAATTCCATGCGTTGATGCATTCGAGGGAGGGCAATAGGATGCATTTCATAAAGTAAAACTGAATTTCAGTGGTTTATAAAAGCTGATTTTAGCAGCATGTGAAAAGTTGTAGACTGAAGGAAAACTGAATATGAATCTGAGGAAGCTGAACGAAGATAATATCCTTACCATTTGTCCATGCCTTCTTCTGTTATCGTCAGATATAAAGGATGTCGAAGAAATCCTGCCAATATATGGCCTCAGCAACGTGGAGTTAGTGCTGTTCTAAGCACTTAACAAATTATTGTTTTGTAAGGTTACCGTCATCAAGGACATTAACTTTCCGTCCAGCACACATGGTAATCAGCTTCATGCTCCAATAAAGTGTTATCTTTAACTAACAACTGCACAACATTCCTTTGGAGTAGCACCATTGAGAGTACTTAAACGCTGAACCAAACTAAGGCTAATTTTTGTTCTTGATCGACCTTCAACTTGCTAGCTACGCTCTGGAATGGTAACATTCCATTCGAGGTCATGCAGTTTTAACCTCATGAGGCATGGAAGCTATTACTTTCATACACATTTCAGCCTTGTTCCACGCCTTTCCATACAGCAGTGGGGTAAAACAGCACTTGAAGTCTTGCCAACAACAGGTGCAGAGTCAAACTTGGGTGCGGCAAAAACTTTTCTAATCCATAGAAACTTTCATTATGGAATACATGGTTTTTACACTGATAACCATGCAGAGAAAAAAGCACATGAAATAATTTAACACACGATGCAATATAATGGTCTTTCAGGTGATAGACGGATACGGACATTCCGGGCCGGTATCTCATGGGCGTTCTTCACGGTAACGTAGTTGGCCGGTTTCTTTCACTAATGACGCCTATACACTCTGGTCATCAGAGGCATTTCTCTTCTTTGTCACTTACTGCATAATCTCATTAAATAAAGAACGTAGACACTGAAGTCAGATATGCCCAGAGCACTGTTTCAACTAGCATTTACGAAATGATCAAGGCAGCCATCGAAATAAGACAGTAACTAGTAAGTACTTTACAGTAACTAGTAACAAATTTACAGCAACTAGGAAGTACTTTAGGGTAGAGTTAAAATGCTCAGCGGAAATCCCCCAATAGCCTCTGAAAACTTAACTTATGTGTTTACAGTTCACCGTAGCGAATTTGTAACACAATATGAATACTGTTTTAAAACTGAAACTTTAAACTAGTGGCTTTAACGACATTTCGACAAACATGGTAACTTTGTGCAAGGCTCAATTTATCGCTTTCAGTACGTGACGCTTGAAATTGAACTGGATCGATTACGAAGAACCGAGTACAGATACAGGAGGAAAGAAAACGACTACGAGAATCCGAAATCGGTTAGTCTATACACTGAATGCAATGCTAACTTTTCTGTTTTAATTCATGCTTGCTAAGTCATATAACCGAATGCGACCAATTCTACTGGTAGTGCCAGTATAACATTAAGTAGCTGACTTGCAATGACAATCACAGCAAACACAAAGCGTAGTTTATTAAGTATAATCCAATACTTTCAATCTTTGAAAGGCTCTACTCGAAACAGAGGTTGACCTAGCTTGGAAAAATGAGGCCATAAGCCCTTCATGCCAGCTAACGAGATTCGAATGCCGGTACCAAGGCAAGACAGATTTCACCATGGGACTAATATATAAAGTGAACAGACAAGGCAGACACCGTCTACATTTATAAAGGAATAGTTTCTTGCACAACGATGTAACACTGCCTTGTTTCATAATGATGATTAACCAAATCCAGCGAACACTCCAAATTAAAGACGTTCTGCGGTTTAGGCTAGTAATTAAAATATTTCAATGCAGCGTTTTCATGTTCCTTACGTGACTGCTGAGTATGCAGATTTATGGAGTTATATACTGCGCTGATTGTCACACTTAGTAGTCACATATCAAGTGGGTCCAGGCGAACTGCAGCCATGAGATGTTCGTAGCGGAAGGCATGGTCATAAATCTCGTCCATCCTGGTACGACCACACCAGATTATCATGTTATTGATGTTATTTAAAAGTCAACGACTTGCTACTCGTTTCTCGGTTGGTTGCACCGAAACAATCTAGAATAAATTCCATGCTCAAGGGGAGTGGCGTTTAATACAAATTTTGTCATTTCTCACAACTTAAACCATATTTCTTCAAAGACTGAAGATGCCCTCATTAATACTGCGCTCCCGCGTCTCCGTTAATTATGCCGGTCAGTCACCCAACTGGCCATCTTTCTGTGTTGGTTTAACAAGGCAATTTGCCCCGCTTCGACAGCAGCTAACTGATGATGAACTAATTTAAGCTGTTTTAAGAATCGAAAGGTCCACTGCACGCGAAGCGATATTGAAATTCGGCTGAAGGAAGGCGACAGTACAACAAATATGGATCGATATTTTTCGAAATATCGTTGCGAACTGATGAACAGCGGGTACGAGCAGAAATCGCTAGACCAACTTTGCTGGGAACTTTTCAAGGAACTCCATGAACTGGAGTTGCAAGTGAGGGACATGACTGAGAATAACCCAAAATCGAATAGCTGAAAAAACGTAGTACGCGAATTCGACGGAAATTTGTCAACAAAGTAGCTGTCCAAAAGATTTCTATTCATATGGCTGATTCTTTTACACCGTTCAAATGTATTTAACTTCAATACAAATTGTACATAAAATATGGCATTCATCAAATACATATAAATTCGTGCCTAAATCGAGCTACAGACAAATTTCACAAACTGCAAGGACTGCTGTTGACCAATGCAAAGCAAACCATCTACCTACAGCCAGTCAGGCATACATTTACTATGCCAACAGTTACAGGAATGAATGAGCACGAACAGCCAACAGAGATGTAGATTTGGCCATATGAGAGTATGGTTCAAAATTGACCCTTTGAAGCTATTCTTTCGATATCATCAAGGCTCAACAAAGAAATCGAGTTATTGAGGTGCTAAATGCAAAATATTAAAAATATACATAATTGTGTTAACGAGAGAAACAAAAACCTGAAAGAAATTGTCCACGACAAGTTCAGTATCAGCTTCAGAGAACTGAGTGCGAAGCATGGAACGCAGATCGGCAACAAGTTTTACCTCAGCGCAGGACTTAGTGGCTACCACGTGTATTCGACACTCGTTCGTGAGCCCGCAATTAGACAACGTCTCGTGATCTGCAAATAAACAGGCAATGAAAAATGAAGCAGCTGCAAATGATCATATGTGTGGTACACATAATACGATATTAACTAATGTTCAGTCTTATATCTGCAAAAACAACGTAATTTCGCATGTAACCTGATCAGGGAGATTGAAGTTGATACGAATCGAATGTTCCGATAAAACGCGCGAAAATTTTTAACTCAAAACTGAGAACTTGATTAAGGATAAAAAACAGTACCTAATTAAATATCTAAGC